AAAGAGTGAAATATTTAATACAAGGAACATGTAAAATGTCATTTTTTTAAAAAGTCGAATTAATACACTTCGGCTCTGGGGTCCAGATACATTCCTATAGAGTGGACGTACTATGGTTTTGCTTCTGCGGCCCTGTCCGTACTTGTAACACATCACGTAACAGGCTTCCGCGTAGTATATCCCTTTGTCCTGTATCTGGACCGTGCCTTCTTTCTGGGTGACCCGCCACAGTGTCATCTCGCCGGATCCATCGTCCACCAGTTGGCACTCGGCAGCCATTCTCGGTCTTTCGTTCATATAATCAGGTTCGAAGTTGGGCGGTAGGGTGAGCGGTCTGGTTCTCGACGGCTCCCATCCTCTAACCAGAGCCTTCATTTCCGTGGGCTCGTGGGCCTCGATTGCTCTCCCAACGGACACGCCGTTGCTGTAGTTCTTCTTTTTGACAAATCCACGCGCGTTACGGACAGCCTCGAGCTTTTCGCGGGCGTTAACATCGTGTCCAACCCACGCCCAGACGCCCGCCTCACCGCGATCAATCAAGTACACCGATTCGGAGGTCAGATCGGATCGAAGAATCGGTCCAGACTTCAGCTCCGCCACCTTGTATTTACCAGACTGTTCGCTACATCTGTACAGCTTGACCGGACTCGGTGTATCGACTCTGTGAGGACGATCCGGTTTAACGACCCTGGTGGTCGGTTCCAAAATGCTGGCGAACAGTTTTCTGTCGTCGTCGGGCAGCGTTTGCTCGTAGCCATCCTCAACGATAACCACGCGGCCATTATTGTTCTCCTTTTTCGTTTCCAGAATGGTCACCGCGTGTCGTTTGTGCAGCGGATCCGACAACGATCCTAACCAGAGGAAGATCACGCCTCTGACGGAAAAATGAAATTGATCGTTAGAATTGGTTCAAAATAATTGAAATTAATATGATTCGCTTTGATTTCATCGAGGACACGTACTTGGACAGTACGTCGACCAGAATAACATCGCGCGAGCTGAAATGGTCCCAGTGGACTTTTTCGAGTTCCGTTACCGCGGGGATCGCGACACCGGTGACCCGGTGCAACGTGCAAGACGGTGTCTCGAAATGAAAGTTTTCGACAACGAGCCTCTGCTGCCGGAAATACGCCAGGAATCGCGGACTTTCACGGCCTTGTGCTTCCCTCAGAAGTATCGTGGCCGATATCTGGGAGTCCAGTTCCGCTGCTCGTAGGGCCGCCGCGCCGGAAATCGTCGAGTCGCACGCGGAACCGATCCAAAAATGAATGACACGGACCGCCGGGGACGATTTCAGGTCCTTCACCTGTTTGGATGATTTTCACAGAATTGACGATACACTGAATTTACTCGTCTTAAAATATATCATACATACATATCCAGTGATTATGAAAGTGGTCTAATTAAAAAATCTAAAAACATTGAACGTATCATTTATTTGGTGTTTTTATCGATTTACGTTACAACAATATGAAAGCAGTTTATTCAGAATATTATAACTGACTTAGACTTTTTATTGAAGGTCGCAAATAAAAACAAAAATATGAATAATTTCGAGATATATTTTGTGTTGTAACGATATCTGAAATGCATTATTGTACTGGGTTTATAGTATTCTTTTGAAGTACACTGTAGAGTCAGAAATGATTGCGACAGAAGAAAACGGTAAAATAGACAGTACCAATGATATTAAGAAATAATTACCGGCATCCCAGGATACGGGAGTGGACCGTCCTTCGGCGACACAGCATAGATAATGTACGCGAGCTCCGAGAGGAAATATCCCATATTACTTCCGGTGACGGCTGCCACACGTAAACCCTATTGCACGGGCATTAAAATGTAATTTCGTTGTTTCGTACTTTCGCTCCGTCGCACAGTATGGTATTTTATAAATCTAGCTAAAATGAAGTCGTACAGCGTCGTTGATAGGTTTCAGACAAAAACGTTCGGAACAAAAATTGTTTAACATCATTATTTAAACATATTCGGATGTCTACAATACAATAACAATTTACATAATTTTGTTCGGAATAATTATTACTGTAAAAGCACAAAACATCTCCAAAATTGAAACTTTACCTTATTTTAAGCCCTCAGCCAATACCTATAAATCACAAACAAAAAATTTTCACTTACACGTGTTCGATTTTACAATTCTGGACTTCTTAAGATATGATATAAACAACAAAAACACATAAATATGTTAACTTATTTTTCTAACTTAAATTCAGCTGGATTGGGAAAATACTACACTGTGCTAGGTGTTTCTTAATCGCGTGAACAGTATAATAAAACCGATATTATTCTTTCTAACTGTAGAAAAACAGCAAAAACAATTACCTCGATCTTCCATACGCGAAACGTGCTGCTGTTCTTCGGTACATTCTTGAAGATCTCGCTGTTCGAGTCGTCCGAACGGCAGCTTCTGTCGTCCTGCGGCAAATCAACAGAATTCTCTATGAAAATCATATCGAACCGCCACTCGATCTTGACGATGCCCACGATAAGTGCTCTTTTGATTTCAATCGAGCTTTTCCTCTACGATACCCACAGCCATTATACACCGCCCCACCCTCATAAAAGTTTTTAAACCGTATCGTTATTATCAGGAACTTTAATTCCCCAGGGCTGTGTCGTATCAAGAACAATATAATGCCCGTTCCAACGACGTTAAATTCCGATTAGGACGCGCGATATCGACGGAAAATCCGAAACAATCGTAGGAAAACAGATCAACTAACGAAATTACACACGGTTGATTATTCTCCCGGTGGAACGAAGGTGTACCTTTCGTTCGACGCGCGCAAGGATCTGACAACGGTTCTTTTGTCGATTTTCAAAAGATCATTCTCTCCGTTCAAAAGTATAATACCGTTAGCACACCGCCAGCTAAATCATCTGCCCTCTCACGCTTTCCCTCGCGATTATTTATTGCAAAATTTTTCATTGTACGCAGAGACACACACGGACACACACCGGCTCGTCGATTCTTCCTAACGATTCCATTTGTTGTTCGCCTCGAAATCGTGTAAAATCCCTCGATTTCACGATTGTCTTTCCAGTAAGGATAATTCTGGTCGAACACTGGATCCCGGCGTGTACGGATCGGTTTTCCGTTTCAAATTGAACGAACGCCGGTTCGATCCTTTCTGATCGCGGTCTAGCCTCGCGGGTACGATCGCGTGCGCGCGCGCTCGCTCGCTCGCGCACAAAATTTCGCAACGGAGAAACGCGATCGGTGTTCGCACACACCACCACGGTTGCCGGCAGAAAACTAGGGTATGGGAACTCTCGCGAGAGCGAGGTCCTCGGGAGGACTTAATCACACAGGTGATCCACGATCCCGTGATCCAGCGGTGCTCGCGCTGCACGGTTCGCATACATTGTTCGTACGTGATGTATACGGGTCACACTGCGCCAAACGGATCACTTTTGTGTTTTAAACGGACTGACTTTGAAGAGGAAATATCACAGAATACGGACATATTTTTGAACAATTTTTTAAAAATGACCTAGGGGCCCAGTTTGCGAAACAATAATACTATTAATATTTTTGCATTGGTCGTGGAATGACCCGTACACGCGTCTTTGAACGATCGTTCACTGAGAACCCACATGTAAATATGTGTTTTTTGAATAGTTGCTGCTATTAATAGTTACCGATAAAAAGAGGAAAATAGTTTTTTGGTATTTTTTCTATGATATTTGTCTTCAGTCCTTTCTGTGCTACCTTTGTTTATTCTATGGTAATTTATTCCGTTCCTATATGACCAGTCGACCACATGACAGCTACTTTTCGTCTTCCTGTACATATAGGCACGTTAAATAAACAAATAAATGATATTCCAAACTGTTGTTGCACATTACTATTTGATTTAAAAGATTATGAAAAGATGTAGTGTAATACGAACGAGGCGTTAATTTATTTTTATCGGTTAACCAAGTTAAAAACTCATCACTATTCATACTTACGTATGTTGTTCGTAACAAAACGCGAATTAAATAGAAAAATTAATTTTCATTAATAAAATTCAACAATGAGGTCTTATTAAACGCTCAACATCTTGTATACAGCAGACTCCGATACACACCCACATAATACGCACTCTGTTTACACAGCGGCGATTGTACGCGCGTGCGAAATACTATTGGCGAAAGAATCACTTCGTCTTATCAGAAATTAATTGCCGTGTTAGCTTCACGGCTGACGATGATTTCCTCGAAACAGGATGCCGGGATAAGTGTTACGGAGAAACGAGCATATATATTGTTTTCGTATCCGCAAAAATCAGCGACTGTGGGCACGATGGCACGGTTTAAATGAAACGATTCCTCCGAGAGTTTCAGTAGGTAATTGGACACGGAAGACCGTCTTTGAAATTCTCGTTCCCATTAACGGTATTTTTCAGTTGATAAAATTCCTTGATCCTGTGGGGTTAATTTAGGACAATTAAAACGAGCATTATTTCACGGCTGCAAATGTTAATCCTGTCAGTTATTTTAAATTCTTATATTATTTACGTATTTTTTCAAGATGAAATATGTACCATGTACCTAGTCACTCAATAAAAAAAAACTTTAATATATTCGACAAGTATGGTGATTGAATAGGTTTCATTCGGAAAAAGACATCGCGATCCTTTTAAATCCCGTTAATCGAGAACACAAAAAATGACAGAGTACAATGTCAGCAAGTATCTATTGAAAACAGCAAGAGAAATAGCGTGTTACAAGAAAACGCATCTCGAAGAAGTTATTCGCCGTGCTACTTTCCAATTTTTCCGCGTTTTTACATTCTTTAAACGGTATTAAGAATACTCTATACCGTAGCACAATTTGTAACCATCGTCGTTGGAATTACTGTATCTAATCTCGTGCAATTCTTGCAATTCACATCTATCTCTCCTGCACTTTCTCAATGATTGACTAGCCACGTTCCTTCGTAACTTTCACATCGAATTCAGTCGCCTTATTCCTTTCGAACCAACATTTTCCATCCGAAGTCAAAATTGTACAATCAAACGGTCTTCGTACCAACGATCAGAATCGAACGTATCCTACTCCGTTCGTTCACGGTCATCAGATTCAATGCTCGAATCCTCGGATTCCTTTGTTTCCGTGGTCCTCGTGAAAAGAATCACCGTATTTACCGTGATCCAGACAGGAAAATCGTCTAAATCGTCCTACGAAACCGATGCATCAACATACGCCGCCAGCATACATCTAAATAGACTCGTTTCTTCCCTAGTTTCTTTTTTCTTCGCGTAACCGTTTCGTTCCGAACCTGAAGTTTTCAGCTGACGGTACGCGACTCGTTAATTGCTCCACGCTCTCCCTAGATGTCGACCGCGTTACCCGCTCCGTTTGAAAATATTTCGGCGACAGTGACAGTAACCACTCTGTCGACTTCTTCAGCGTACTGTTATTTTGACTCTTCAAGTATGATTTCCAAATTTTCAAATATGTCGCACTTATGTCTCGCTGAAATCGTCTCAACACCGGCTGACATCGCGATAAAAAAAACATAGCATTCCATTAAAAAAATAGCGATGACCTTGAAATATCCTCTATGCCTTCACCTATGCAGAAAAAGTTCGTGTCACAATATGCCCCCCTCTATACCGTGTAAGTTTTGTACATAACATTTTTTCATATTATTCCAAATAACGACAATATTCAAAGTGGAGATAGTTATTGCCCCACCCTGTATACAATCGCGTTGCTTGTCCCTCCATTGTCTTCGCGGATTCGTGCTTACATGCGTTCATTCATGCCCACGCCCGTCGTTCTCGATCAGACGTGTGTATATTATTGCACGTCGCGTCGCCCCGGCCCGATACGCGTGCACACGTGCCCCGCTCGAGCGTCGTCCGCGACGATCATTTGTGGCAGGAAGCGGTGACTGCACTTGCCCGCACGCCCACTTGTTCGTCCACGCCGATCTTCCGCGAAGTGTTTCGCGTCGAGGTGAAAATCCTCGCTTGTCCTGGACGCATTACACGCGTGTCTGTTTTCTTTTAGAAGGAGAGTGCTAAGATCTTCAAGACGCCGATTTAATCGAGGTTTTGAACACTATTGTCAGTTCAACGAGGGAGTCAGTAAGAATAACCAAAACATTTGTGTGCAGAGCCCAACTATTGGCTGGCGACTGTCTCTGTCCCACTTAACCTTTGTGTAGGCAACCACCCACCCAGGTACTCGTTTCTAAATTTCTTTTCACAATTTTTTATGTTCTTGTCTAAAACTTGGTATATTACAGAAAGGGAAAACTAAGAGTTTCGGAAATGGATGGAAGTAAAATTAGACATGTTTATCTAATCTGTCGGAATAGGAGTATTCCGTTTGCTCAATGACCGTGAATATTTTGGTTGCCTACACAGGGGTTAAATGATCAACACCTTCCTTTGTTTATAATTAGCTACTGACTCGACTCGCTGGATGAGATGTAGGTAGATATTGTTACTTTGTTTACGAAAATATGTACACTATTATAGGGATAGATACTCGATATTTAGTGTGACGGTTGGTTAGGCGATACGTGGTGTATGGAGATGACATGCCTCTTTTTCAGGGTTTCATAAAAACGAATCGTTCAACGAGAAAAAACGTAGAATTTTGTTCCCGCGTTGGAAGGAATGTAATTTCACGGGTGTTTTCCATTAAGTAAAAGTGTGCTCGATAATGTGGAACGAAATTGTCTGATGCGAGACACTGGATCACATGAGGATTAGTGAAGGTGCGTGAGACTTTAACGAATGTATTTGGATGAAAGGAATCTCGTAATTTCGTAATATAGTTAATGTGTTACTTTTTGACTGTAGAGAAACTATTGAAAAGAAGCAATCAGAGACGCTATGCCCGTCAATTCCCGCGTATGTACGTACTTCCTGGAAATTTCTTTAACATCGTACGGCAAAAGTTGTCAATTCGTCAGAGTTACAACATATCTTTCGATCCTTTCCCCTGGTTGGCGCGATAAAAGACCGCCTACATCGCGATCGCTCTAATTCTTCTCGGCAGAATATTCAGTACTCGTTCGGAATTACGAACGATGACCAAAACGTCCGCGCTTCGGATCCCACCCGAGTGTCCGTAACGAACTCACCCGTCTCGAGAAATCCATGGCTTTTTCTTTCCCGGTTCTGTGTCCCCTTTACGTCATTTAGACGTAGCGTACGAGAAGCGATTCCCGTGGCGATATGCGCGAAGGAGCAAGAGTAGAAGGCCGTATACACACGCCGCGATGCAACACCGTCTAACTGTACGCGAGCAAGCACAACTGATACGATGTGTTCCTGGCTAAAAAGAAACCGTACCGGTGCAGACTCGTCCGGAAGTGGGCCCCGGAACCCCGGGCCGGCCACCCGTGACCGCCGACGGGTATACACCATACACCTCGTGAATACACGCGCGTCGAGCCATGCGGGCATCGGTTCTCTCTATGGCATATAGGCATCTCGCTCGAGCGCGCACCTGTTCCTCTGGCTTTCTAACGTTTCTGTCCGGTCGTCACGAAGCTTCCCTACCCAATTCATGGGCTGCCCCTTTTTGTTCCTTCTTCTTCTTCTCCTCCCCATCTTGGTTGTCTTCGCTCGAATAACGGATGCCGATCTAACGATCGAGATTACGGCCGCCTGGCATCGCGCGGAAGATTAAGTACGTTCCCGCTGAAACACGCTCGTTACGCTATTCCACGGCGTGTAATATGCGCGCCAGGTATTTCGTGAAATGCGAGCGCCATGGGCTTCAGGGACGACGAATTAGCCGCGGTGATGTATAATGAGAAACTGTACAGGGTGTCCTATTGCTGACTTATAGCCGTGGTATAATTATTCTGTATGCAGAAATAGAATTAAAAAAAAAGAACGTGTATGTATTTATTTATGAAATTTGAGTTACAGTAATGATGGAACTCGTGCATGTATTTGAGCATCACCTGGCGTAGAAACGGTGAGACGCGTGAACAACTCCATGGGAACTGTTCATTTATTCGAATGTTGTTTAATTGTACATGAAGAGGAACGGAATCAGTATCTGTCAGCTGATTTTGACAGATACAGGATATTTTTCTAATATTATTTTTCTATGACACAGGGGAGAGAGGCCGATGGACTGGAGAAACGATGAATCCGATCATTCGAGCGGTTTGTGGTTGTTTTTCATGTACTAGAACCTGGTGCCGTTCTAATCGGTTTGTCAGATTATTCATTAATTATATTCTTCGGTTCATGTATAGTTGAAAATTTTACGTGGGACGAGAGAAGTTTATTGACAAAGATTAAGAGCGACGCGAGCCTATCCGGTGCAATAGGATGCAACGTTTGCTCTCAAGGAGTACAGGTTCATGCGATTATCTGAATAAATATGTTTTATTTGAGAAATACTATAAATTTATAATACCTTTTTCACGTGTATGTTATATTGGAAAAAGTAGGCGAATTTTGGTAATTGCAAAGAGTCGAGGAGCTTTACATCGGCCCTCGAACGTTTGGAACTGGAAGCCGAAATCGAAGCTAGAAATGAGATACCGCTTCGACGAACTAGCGATGCACAAACTGAACCACCAGACGATACTGAGCAGGAGTTATACGGTTTGAATACGAGAGACATACCACCCTGTCGACTTCTTCAGCATACTGATATTTTGACTTTTCAAGTATGATTTCCAAATCTTCAAATATGTCACACTATATCGTTGATGAATGTAAACCTGTTCAGGGTGTTAGATATCCACCGGAAGATATTGCTCGTTACTGGAAAAAAGACGCACGAATGTGGCTCTGGAAGTCTGTTAGGCTTATGAGAAGCAAAAAAAAACCGGTGACTTCAAATGACATGTGCGCGGTAAATAATGAAAATGAAGAAAAGGAATGATTTACATGTCATCTTAGAATTTCGGATGTAAAGTTCTTTGCATTTAGATCGTTGTTTTTATTCTTCGTATCATCATTTTAAATACGTTTTATTTTTGTATGCATGTACACTGGATTAGACAATAAGTAACGTCTATTATTAAGAGACCTTAACACTTCCTATTACATACTTTTCCAATTTATTTATAACGAGTTGTGCTTAATCTGTAATAAGGTAAGTAATAAACGATTAAAAAATCTTTTACGTTCTTTGCCGAAACAATTGTATGTTTCATCCAAACATGAAACAAATTGTTACATCATGAAATTCTTGTACAATTTACATGCGTCAACTCGAGATCATTCTACATGTTAACCACAAGTTTCTACAGAATCCAATGGCTGTTTTTCTGTCTCCGATTCAAGTATTTCACCCATTTCGAAACGTGCGAAATCTATAACTTCCGTCTCCTCAGCTTGCAACAATTGTTGCACAGACATCGAAGAATCAAGTAAAAAATCTTGGTATAACATAACAGATTCTTCGTCCACGTCGTCGTTTGGCTCATCAACACTTAGATCTCCAATTTTGACTGGATTCATACCTAACAGAAAGAATTATATCATTACTCAAATCAAATATAGTTCTGTATGAAATTATTGCACTAAGTTCACAAGTATGATTACCAATAATGTGTTGGCAAAGTTGCATTCCTAAAACTGGAGTTCTTTCTTTAGATTTTAAAGCCACTAATGCACCATATCGTCCAAAAGATGTTGGCACTGGATTTACAGGCGAGGGGTGAGTACAACCATATAGATGCACTCCTGGTTGTACACTCATGCACAACGCACGTCGTATATTAATGTTTTCCCCAACAGTTCCGATAGTTAAAGCACAATGGTCTATTAAACTCTTGCCATCATTGGCAACCAAAGAGTTTAAAGACTCTGGGAATAGCATGGTTTTATTGACAGGTGCAGTTTCTTTGAATGTCATTCCATGTTGTAACACAGTTGACAGTACAATTTCGGCTAAATCATGAAATCTTTTGTTTCTTGCAACAAAGTCTGTTTCGCAATTTATCTCTGCAAGTGCTCCATAATTATTATTAGTTACTATAGCTATTAATCCCTGAGATGTTATTCTAGATTGTAGTTTAGCTGCTTGGGTCCAACCTTGGGACTGTGCCTGTTCATGTAACCATACTTCAGCCTAAAACATTTGACAAAATTAGTAACACTTTTGCTCAGATCATTGACTAATAAGTGTCTTACTTTTTCTATGTCATTATCATGTAGTTCTAATGCCTTCTTACAGTTCACAAACGTATACCCAGTCTTCTTGCGTAATTTGGACAATAATGTTTTCTTCGCAGAATAACAGACTAAGTAATTCGTATATATGGAACGAAATACCTGACGTGGAATCATCTGAAATGTCACTGATACTGTTACTTTATGTAAAAAGAAATGTAAACCAGGTGACTCTAAGTAGAATTTTATAGAGGTCTAACCTAAAAAATATCTGAACACAACTTTAAGTAACGTGTTAATATTAACACGGCAATATTACAATGACATTATTTTACAAAAAGTTTTTCGATTAAAAGTCCCACAATTTTCTCGAGATCGATTAATTTCGTTGCCTAGAAACTACAGTCAATTGAAGCCGCTAGTGTCAACCTTTTCGCGACTTGATGGTGGAAAACACATAGAGATAACATTTTGTACTTACAATCTATCTAAACTGTAAATGTAGCAACAATTTATCTAAAACAGTCAATAATTCGAAGAAGTTTTATCAGTTAATACTTACGATGCAAGTAGTTCAAAACACGGGGTCCTGGAACAATTGCTAAACCGAGATCTATTCCGAAAGTGGCGCCTTCTGCGACTCTAAAATTCGATCGCAAGGTAGTACGGAAAAATGGATGTTTTTCAAGTGAAATTTGCAAGTTATACAGTCACCGAATCGTAGCTTATAAGCGATTTCGTATTCATGATCGAATGAAGTTCATTTTGGCGTATAAAACATCTCGTTCGTACTGTTTCTGGGCATTATTTTAGGTGTAAAACAAATCTCCATTTTCCGGGGTCCTGTTGCGATACGCAGTTCAGTATGGAATGCGATTGTATGAAAGTGACATCGTGCGAAGGTATTCCACAACGTCCAATTCAAAAGAAGCCCGCCAAAATATGCAAAGTGGACGAATTCAAGATCGAACCAATAGAATTGATGAATTGCATCAGATGCCAGAAAAAGGATAATATACGAAAAAAAAGGCAATTACAGGAGACGCATGCTGAAAAACGGTTGAGAACGGAAAGCTTTCGTAGGTCGGTTATACACGCGAATTTTACTTTCGTTCAAAATGAAAAATAGGTTAAAAACTTTGTAAATGTAATTAAAGTCAAGTTTGTGAAAGATAATAGTTACTGGTGACTTTATTTATAGGTTCATGGTGGGTTTAGTTGTTAAACCGGAATTATCGGAGTCGGGATTGGACTTAACCACGGACCAAGATATAAACCGTTACTACAATTATATTTCCAACGGAGTCGATACTGTCCATACGGCCGAAATTCACGATGATGTTCTTGAGAAGATATTAAATTCGGTTCCGTACTGTTTGCGTGATCGTTTCAATTATTGCACGGAAGATCTATTAATCGAGATCAAAGACACATACACATTGAATATTAAGAAAGCGATATTGGAATTTGCGCTTCAGGATCCTTTACAGGAATCCCCACAAGAGGTGAATCTAAAATGTACATTAATAAATTTTGTATATAGGGTGTTTTATCAAGGACGTTTGAAGGTCAATACTAGAAATGGCGGCCGGAAGAGAAGTGTCTTTGGCAGAGAGAGTTATTAATTAGAATAGTTCTCTCGAAACACTCGTTGTATTTTATTCCAGGTCTAAAAGTTAAAGTATTCACTTCATGAAAATCTTCAATTTCAACAGGCACAACAAAGTGAACTGCTGTCTAGTTTAGTAGGTCAGGTTCGTGAACGAAGTGTCACCTTGCAACGCGATTTGTATCTGATAAATCCATGCATGAAGATGACTTTAGATCGATGGATACGCATATTTCGGTAGGACACCACAAACTTCCAGCACGATGCTTCTGATCGATGAATGAACAGCTATTTTTCAGAGATTTTCGGCTTATCGACGTCAAAAAACTTGCGACGCACAAGGGGAGCTGGGGCCTGCAAGAGTATGAAAGTACAGTTTATCGTCAAATCGAGAGGGGGAAGGTCACACTGCAGAAGTCTTGGTACAGTGGAATACAGGATATATTCCTTGTGGTAAAGGATCTGTAATGATTCAGTGTACATAATATTTATTATAGACGACGAAGAAGATTATCTTATCTCTTCTGAAAGATTAGGCCCACCGTGGAATTTATAAATTGTAGAATTATGAAATATATACGGACAAATACAATACGGATTTTCTTGTTCTTATATTATCAGATTATTTGGCAGATAGATCAGTAACGTCCAAACACTACAACGTAATTAAATAATTATTAATTCCATTTAATTCCATTTCCACAGAATAACAGAAAGAATTTAGTACCTAGCCCTCTGAAACGTACACAGTTCGGACGATTCTTCGGATGTGTCGCCAAAATAATGGAGGCTCAGCTACTGTCTCTCTGTAAAAGCAGCATAAAGGATTTCATGAACCTGATCGTTCGCGGTCAGGTCAGTTATTCCAGAATCTCCTGCAAGAACAATTAAAAAATCGTCTCAGTAATTATCGTTTACAGCCAGCGAGATGCGAGTTTCACGTGGATATTATAATCGTCGACAAAAAGCCCGATTTTCAACCCACCTTCGATGCGTTTAAACATGTACTGTGCGGTATTTTGAACGGTATATGCAAAGCTGTTGCAGAATTTAACACATTGGAAACACAACTTTACCTAGACTGGTCTGGCCCGTTAGAACTTCTACGAGTATGCAAAGGATTAATTTTTTATTACATATTGACAACCTAAAAGAGCAGACTTTCGATTGAAGTTCGAATAATTTAATACATAAATCATTTTATATTTCTCCGGTGCAGCCGAAGATAGATCATTCGATAGTGGAAGCTCAAAAGCAGAGGATCATTCGACTGATCGATCGAGAAAAAATTATTCCCACGAAGATACTGGCCGCGTTAGAAGTGTAACTATCAATCGTGTTATATTTTCCATCTGCTTTTATTTTTCTTCTATCTCTCATGACTTGTTCCGTTTATTCGTCACAGACATAAACATTTTTACAATAACGACGAGTACCAAACGGTGGAGAGGTTCGTGAACGACGAGAGCAAAACGTTACCTGAATACGAGGGGATGATGAATCGTTATCGCGCGCTTATGGCGAATATTCCATTGCAAATCGAGAGGACAGTGTTCACCGGCCTCTTCAAAGTGTCACGGCAGATTTTCATCGAGACGATCGTCGGTAATATCGAGCAGATACAGGGTCTTCTTACCAATACCCTGGTCAAGAGGTACCAACTCACAGCTATAAGGTGAGTGTTTTATTATTCTTTTCAGCACGACTCTTCAAGCATCTACAAAAAAAAAAACGCAACATTGTATACCTGTTTCGGTTTAGAATGACGGGGGAATACGAAAGCATAGCCGAGCGAGCATTGAGCACGCCAGCCGACACGTCCGAGCTGATGGATCTCATAGATTTCGTTCGAAAAGCCGTGGAAGGGTCTCTGAAGCTGTTGGAGGTGGAGCTTTACGATATAATTCAGCACATTCTCCTGCTGTCCAATTACTATGTTCTCACTGACGCTGAAGTAAACGCCAATAATATGGCGTTCCAATGGTACCATCGAATACCGGATATACTGATAGAGAACCAAAATATCGTGGCGACTAAGACGGTGGAGTTCCAGGAGGCGTTACGAAGTATCATTAACAACAGAAAGAACGGATATAACTATCATGGGTTTTTTTGAATCGATTTAACGTTATGGTCTTCCAAACACACAGTCAGGTACATCCGATTTGAAGAGGAACTGGACTCGTACGCGAAGCAAGTCGACGACATCCAGTACTGGGGCGACGTGGCGGAGGTGTACAAGTACCAGAGGAGGGCCCAGACTCTAGAGAACCGGCTGATCACCGCGATGGAGAAGATCGACAAGTTCAACGAGGAGGAGAACGCGTTCGGCTGGGAGATCACGCAGTATCCACGCAGGAAACAGATCGCCGATCAACTGAAGCCGTTCAAGCAGCTGTTCGACGCTGTCTGCGACTTCATGACCAAACACGAGCTCTGGCTGCAATCGATGATCGGCAGTTACAATCCCGAGGACATCGACAACGATGTCGGATATGCGTACAGGTGAAATGTCTCCATGGAAAATTATGGCAGTTCCTCCAGCCGAAAACATTTTAATCGGCAATAATTCCGTAAATTTATTCGAAATCCGTAGAACGATCTACAAACTGGAGAAGTCTTTCCAGGAACCAGATCTCAGGAATCTGGCGCTTAGTGTCCGCGAGAAGATCGAGGAGTTCAGGGATCGTATGCCGATCATATTCACGTTAGGCAATCCTGGACTGAAAACACGTCATTGGGAGGAAATATCGGAGATCATCGGGATCCCGATCAAGGTTGACGTTGACTTAACGTTAGCCAAGGTACTGGAGATGGGACTGGACTCGTTGGCCGAAAAGTTCGAGGGTATCTCGGACAACGCGTCGAAAGAGGCCACCTTGGAGAAGGCGATCGACAGGATGCAGAAGGACTGGACCGATTTGGCTTTCACGGTGAACCCTTTCAAGGACACCGGCACCTACGTTATCGCCGGCGTGGATGAAATACAGTTGCTTCTGGACGATCACATCATCAAGACCGTTACTATAAAGAATTCGCCGAATATAAAGCCTTTCGAGGACAGAATACTGTTAGTATTATTTACTATTATTCTTTATTATCCATGCCTTTCGGCTTTGGATGACTTCCGGTATTACTACATTTATTTAAAATATTTTACACTTCTATTCCTTTTTATCACAGCTCTATCGTCCTAATACCAATTGAAATTAAAATTCAACTTAAATTTAGCACTTACACTTTAGAATCTGTTATTAACTATTAATACTGTTAGTAAAATTAAGTATAACTTAACTTTGTACCCTGTAATGTCCTCTATATCTATTATACTATTGGACATCCTCTATAATATCGTGAACATACCCTCAATCTCGTTGTTCATGGCCTCAAACAGGGTATGGGAGCACAAATTGCACCTGCTGCAAGATATTCTGGATCAATGGCTGCGTGTCCAGGCGATTTGGATGTACTTGGAACCGATATTCACGTCGCCGGACATCCAACAGCAGATGCCAGAGGAGGGACGGAAGTTCTCCGCTGTGGATAAAACTTGGCGCGACATCATGAAGACCGTTCACTCCGATTCCCGTGTTCTTGCTGTGGTCGAGATCGATAAGATGTTAGAGAGGTTGAAGAAGAGCTACGGACTGCTGGAGGATATTCAAAAGGGGCTGAATGATTACCTCGAGAAGAAGCGGCTTTACTTCCCGCGGTTCTTCTTCCTATCGAACGACGAGCTCCTGGAAATTCTGTCGGAGACCAAGGACCCGACACGGTAATCCTATATACGGGACAGTGGAACACCATTTGTTCGACTTCGTTGTGGCGGGTTGGCCGGTTCGGATAACAGGATGGCTCGAGCATTAACACTGGAACCGGAGTCGGGCAGAATTTTATTCTGAATAATACATAGTGAAAAGTAACGGTATCCACGAGCGTTATCGTAACCTTTCAACAGTTAATGAGATTAAATGAACGTTTGTCAAGTGTCCACCATCAAGTGTGTTGTTTCTTAAAATAGCAAAAGAAAATACTCGAATCACAAATTGACCATCGTTTTTCCAGCGTCCAGCCGCATCTAAAGAAATGTTTCGAGGGTATCCACCGGCTGAAGTTCAACGAGGACCAGGAGGTGCTCGCGATGAGATCGTCAGAGGACGAAGAGGTGGGCCTCGTGGATGCGATATCCACCGCAGCCGCGCGTGGACAAGTCGAGAAGTGGCTCGTCGAGCTGGAAACGATTATGCGACGAAGTATTCGGCGCGTGGTGCAGCTGGCAATCGAGGCGTATCCAAGTAAACCAAGGAAGGACTGGGTCCTCGAGTGGCCCGGCCAAACGATCCTTTGCGTTGGCAAAACGTATTGGACGCTGCGCATCGAGGAGGCGATGCTAGCGGGCGCTGGCGGCATGAACAAGTACTTCGAACAGTGCCAGGCAGAACTGAACGATGTGATAAGGCTCATCAGAGGAAAACTATCGAAACAGAATCGTATTACTTTAGGTGATCATATTTTACTCTTGATCTTCTATGGCAGAAAAGAAACTCGACGTAACAAGTTATCCTGACAATTCACTGAATCTTCGAACATTTTAGAGGCTCTTGTCACTCTTGATGTCCACGGGAAAGATGTGCTGGCGAACCTCTGCAAAGAGGTCGTGATCAAGAACACCGACTTCAGATGGCTCTGTCATCTACGCTATTATTGGCTGGTTAGAACCATCTCTCGAAAAATAAATATTAACACATTTGTTACGACGACTAGTATCAAAAATAGAATAGATAATTCATATTTACAGGAGGAAGACATGTGGTCCTATATGATTAATTCGAACCTGAAATACGGATACGAATATCTGGGAAATTCCTCTAGACTTGTCATTACTCCTCTGACGGATCGATGTTATCGAACCCTTTTCGGCGCCTTGAGTCTTCATCTGGGCGGTGCACCGGAGGGCCCCGCTGGTACTGGTAAAACCGAGACGACCAAAGATCTAGCTAAAGCAGTGGCGAAACAGTGCGTGGTCTTCAATTGCTCCGAGGGCTTGGATTACATCGCCCTTGGGAAATTCTTCAAAGGATTGGCGTCCTGCGGCGCCTGGTCCTGCTTCGACGAATTCAATCGAATCGATCTGGAGGTATTGTCCGTGGTCGCCCAACAAATCTTGACGATTCAACGTGGCATTAATAGCGGCGCGGAGAAAATGTTCTTCGAGGGTACAGAAATCTTCCTGGACCCGAGTTGTGCCATTTTCATCACGATGAACCCTGGTTACGCCGGTAGATCCGAGTTACCTGATAACTTGAAGGCGTTGTTCCGTCCGGTTGCCATGATGGTGCCGGACTATGCGTTGATCGCCGAGAATACACTATATTCGTACGGTTTCTACAACGGTAGACCTCTAGCGGTGAAGATCGTAACCGCTTACAAGCTCTGCTCCGAGCAGCTGAGCAGTCAGAGTCATTACGATTACGGCATGAGGGCAGTGAAATCGGTGTTGGTGGCGGCTGGCAACTTGAAGCTCAGATATCCAGAACAATCGGAGGATATTCTGATGTTGAGAAGTATCCTAGACGTGAATCTTCCCAAGTTTCTTGTTCAGGATCTTCCACTTTTCGAGGGTATCGCCTCGGACCTATTTCCTGGTGTCGTGCTACCGACACCAGATTACACGCATTTGAACGCTTGCACGAGGGACGCGTGCGCAGAAGCGAACATCCAGTGCACCGAGTTCTTTCTGCAGAAGATCCAGCAGATATACGAAATGATGATCGTCAGACACGGGTTCATGATCGTTGGTCTGCCATTCAGCGGGAAAACGTCCGCGTATAGGATGCTGGCTGCCTGTCTGAGACTGCTGGAGGAGCGACAATTGATGGACGAACATAGGGTCGAGATAACGGTTATTAATCCTAAGGCGATCACGATGGGACAATTGTACGGACAGTTCGACCCAGCCTCCCACGAATGGAGCGACGGCGTGCTGGCTGTCAGCTACAGGGCGTTCGCGACGTCCACCAATCTGAATAGAAAGTGGCTGGTCTTTGACGGACCGGTAGACGCCATTTGGATCGAGAACATGAACACCGTGCTCGATGATAATAAAAAGCTCTGCTTGACCTCGGGCGAGATTATACAATTGGCGCCCACTACGAATCTGATCTACGAGCCTATGGACTTGGAGGTAAGGGAAGTCTAGATGACGATCTGACTATAGACCTAACCACGAATCGTTTTTCCATATAAACGTTTTTTGTTAAATGTTAAATTATAAAACGATTATTGATTTATCGTCAGGTCGCTTCGCCCGCCACGGTATCCAGATGCGGTATGATCTACATGGAACCAGTCAGCCTTGGCTGGAGACCCCTTTTGCTCTCCTGGTTGAACACCCTGCCGGAGACCTTCACGGAACACCATAAGAATCATTTGCACGATATGTACATGAGATTTTGCCCGCCCCTTCTCTATCTTCTACGACGAGGGGCAGTCAAGGTTCAAAAGACTCTTTTTCGTAGATCCATTTAGATAAACCATTATCATCGTCCATTTCCCTCGCTCGTTCCTCTGTTCAGGAGCTGATTACAATGCCCGATGCGAATCTCGTGAGATCAGTGATGTACCTGTTCGATTGTTTCCTCGACGACTTTCACGATGAGAAGTACCTCCAGACGTTATCCGATCTAGATATACGAGCGCAAGTAGAGGTACCGATTTCTTTCTAGTTTAATCGGACCAAAGACGTCTGAACGAACACTTCCGTTTCAGGGCTGCTTTTTCTTCTCCTGCATCTGGGCGATGGGCGGCACGTTGAACACGGATTCACGTGAATCGTTCAGCGATCTCTTCAGAGGTCTAACGGCCAGGGAGTTCCCGGAGGACATCAGGCAACGTTTCAATATCTCCGATGACACCACCGATCCGCCAAAGCCATACGTGGTCACCGTGCCGTTAACCGGTCTGGTTTTCGATTTCAAATACGTGAAAGAGGGCCGAGGAAAGTGGAGGCCGTGGATGGAGGATCTGCAGAACGTTCCGCCGATCCCGAAAGATATGCCGGTGAATCAAGTGATCATTCCGACGATCGAGACAGTTCGTTACTTTCACCTGTTCAAGCTCCTCATTTGCCATCACAAACCGGTCCTCGTGGTCGGTCCGACTGGGACTGGCAAGTCCGTCTACATGATGGACTTTCTTCTGAAGAAGAACGACCCGGACACGTACAAGCCTATGTTTGTAATATTCTCGGCGCAAACCACCGCCAATCAGGCGCAAGATATCATCATGAACAAATTGGACAGAAGGAGGAAGGGTCTTTATGGGGCGCCGCCTGGTAAACACTGGGTAGTGTTTGTGGACGATTTGTCCATGCCTCAGAAAGAGGAATACGGCGCCCAGCCGCCTATAGAGTTGCTGAGACAATGGCTGGATCACTGGACCTGGTATGATGTGAAGGAAGTGGCTCCCATAGAACTAGTAGACGTTCAACTGGTATGCGCCATGGGACCTCCGTCCAGTGGTTTGGACGTCACACCCAGGTTCAAACGGCATTTCTTTACCCTGGGCATCTCCGAATTCTCCGACGACGTTCTGACCGCTATCTTCAGCACGGTGATGTCTTGGCATCTGAACAGAAGAGAGTTTCCAGACTTTTTCCAGCCCTGCGTCGAGTATATAGTCGACGGTACGCTGGACATTTATAAAGAAACCAGGCAGCATCTTCTGCCAACTCCGGCCAAGTCGCACTACTTGTTCAACTTGAGGGACTTCTCGAGGGTGATCCAAGGAGTGTTGCTCTCCGTGCCTGAAACTGTTACCGAACCGGTAGGTTAATTGTGCGAGATCATTAATTTTTTTTCTCATTAAAATTATATTGAACACAAAAAGTAATATTGAAGAATCTTGAACGAAAGCAAGAAAAGTACCTAAGAGTCCCTGTAGTGTGACGTGTGAACCCCTACAGGAGCATACTAATCGTCACCATATTGAACACCTTTCATATGGAATTTACAAATTTTTAGAATATCATTGAAATGAACAACGATAATGATTTTTTTTCCGTTCTAAGGTGGGCATGAAGCGTTTATGGGTGCACGAGGTTCTCCGCGTCTATGGGGATCGGCTGGTCGACGACATGGACATTAAGTGGCTCGTCGACCAGATACGACAAACCGTGACTAACTACTTAGAAGACAATTTAAATGAGATGTTCAAACATTTGCTGACAGATGGGGCAAACACGGTACGTCTGTATCACCTTCTGAGAGATTATAATCTTGTCGAGCATTAATCAAAACACACTGCAATTTAATTTGTCCATAGGTGACAGAGACAGAACTTCGGAATCTGATCTATTGCGACTTCCAAGATCCTATGGCCGATAAGAAATTATACACAGAAGTGGCCAACATAGATGACCTTACAGTGATCGTCGAAGAATATCTAAGAGAGTACAATTCCATTTCAAGGACTCCCATGAACCTCGTTCTCTTCAGGTCCATTATCCGTTTCAGCAAATACAGTGACTCACAAATTTGTTCACGGAACGCTGTCATATATATGTGACCAAATAACCTACCAAATTACAAATTGTGATTTAAAATGAGGATATATATGTCACAAAAATGATCACTTAACTGTTATTTCGAAAGTATTCTGAACGAATGCATGAATCACTGTATTACAATGAATCAATGAAATAATAATTTCACCGAATCCTCAACAGATTCGCGGTCGAGCATCTTTCAAAGATCTGTCGAGTGATGATGCAACCCCGTAGCCACGCCCTCTTGATCGGCGTCGGTGGTTCTGGTCGTCAGTCTCTAACCAAATTGGCAGCCCACATCGCGGACTACGAGCTATTCCAAGTGGAGATGTCCCAGCAATACGGCACATACGAGTGGCACGAGGACCTGAAGGAGATCCTGAAGAAGAGTGCAGCCAGCGATCTGCACACGGTGTTCTTGTTCCTGGACACTCAGATCAGGGACGAGATATTCCTCGAGGATATAAGCAATCTTTTGAATTCGGGTGAGGTGCCGAATATATTCGCCTCGGACGAGATGTCCGACATATGCGAGAAGATGCGAGTGATCGATCGTCAGAGGGACAGATCGTTGCAAACGGACGGCAGCCCCGTGGCGTTGTACAATTTCTTCGTGCAGACCGTTCGCGAGCATCTGCACGTGGTGGTGACGATGTCGCCGATCGGGGACAGTTACCAAGTTTCTCGGCGAAATCGATTTGACCGTGGAGGAGAGGGACGCGTGCATCGAGATGTGCCAGTTCTTCCACACGTCCACGCAGGATCTGTCCCTGGAATTCCTGAAAAGGGCCAAAAGATACAACTACGTCACGCCCACGTCGTACCTGGAGCTAATCAACACGTTCAAGGATCTTCTGGCGAAAAAAAGAAAGCAGGCGGTCGAAGGGAAGAGAAGATACGAGGCTGGTTTGGAACGATTGGACAGCACTCATAAACAGGTGGAGAAGATGCAAGAGATCCTGGTCGCGTTACAACCGAAACTGCTTGTCGCTGCGAAAGACGTGGAAGCGATGTTCTTGGACGTTCAGAGTCAGAACGACGAGGCCGTGGCCATCGAGCAGATCGTCAAGCTGGACGAGGAGGCGGCCATGGTAAGGTGTTCCTCGAGATCAAAGTCAATGCTATTTAGCACGGAATTTTGTAAATGGATCTCGACGGCTCTCTCCCGGTATCCAGTTTCTTTTAGGACACCCGGGTCGTTTCCACTTTGCGGTGCGTTAACGTTAATGAGATTTAGGAGCTCACCTGGAATCCTGACTCGCGACCGTAACTTTATCTTCTTGGTTTATTCGAGCGACTCGTTGGCGAGTTACTTGTCTCTCAAGGGCTCTGAGAAACGTTAATTCCACGCTTTATAAGTTTCTAGCCGTTTCCGTGTTCAGAGTTATATTGTGAAAGCACGGAAAATATTCCAAATTATTCTAAATTCTGGACCATAATTGGAGAAAGATTGACACTTGTGGAAGGTGACTGTCAGTACTTCCCTCAAAATTGTCCTTCCAATTTAAGGTGGTAGCCAGCGAAGCTGACGCGATCCGTGAGGAATGTGACGCCGATCTGCAGGATGTAATGCCAATATTAAACATGGCGAACGCCGCCCTGAACACTCTGACACCGCAAGACATACAGATAGTCAGATCGATGAAGCGTCCTCCAGCCGGCGTACGATTGGTCATGGAAGCAGTTTGCATCCTAAAGGTACAATCCATCCCCTCGATTCCTCTTAACCAATACGTCTCCACGGTACAATCCATCCACTTTTCCAGGACGTGAAACCGGACAGAGTTCAAACACCGGAAGGCATGGTGGAGGACTACTGGAAGGCCTCGTTGCGTATGCTGAGCGACATGAAGTTCCTCGAGAGTCTGTTGACGTACGACAAGGACAACATACCGGAGAAGATCATGACGAAGATCCGTACCACGATACTGACCAACCCGAACTTCGACCCCGAGAGGATCAGACAGGTGTCGAACGCCTGCGAGGGCCTCTGTCGATGGGTGTTCGCGTTATCGGAGTACGACAAGGTGGCGAAAGTGGTGGCCCCGAAGAAGCAAGCATTGGCCAAGGCGGAGGCGGATTATTCCGCCGCGATGACGCAGCTCAACCTGAAAAGGAACCAGCTGCAAGAGGTCAGGAAGAGGCTGGAGGAATTGGAGGATCTTCTGGCGCAACGCAGGGCCGAGTACCAGGTGATGACTGACGAGGTGGCCGAGTGCGAGGAGAAATTAAGACGGGCCGAAGAGCTGATCGGAGGTCTAGGCGGGGAATACACCAGATGGTCGGAGACCGCCAAGTCCCTAGGGGAACTTTATTACAAACTGACTGGCGATATTCTGATCGGTTCTGGGATCGTAGCGTATCTAGGTGTCTTCACCACTTGGTACAGGCAACAGCAGATCGAGAACTGGACGAAGATCTGCACCGAGCTGGACGTCTATTGCACGCCTGACTATCAGCTCACTCAGATACTGGGCGATCCTGTGCTGATCAGATCGTGGAATATCTTTGGTTTGCCCAGCGATCTTTTTTCGATCGATAATGGCATTATCGTCACGAACTCCCGACGGTGGCCGTTGATGATCGATCCTCAGGGCCAGGCGAACAAGTGGGTGAAGAATATGGAGAAAAAAGCGGGTATCAACGTGATCAGACTGTCGCAGAACGATTATATGAGAATTCTGGAAAACGCTGTGCAGTTCGGACAGCCGGTTCTATTGGAGAACGTCGGCGAGGAGCTGGACGCTGCTATGGAACCACTTTTGATGAAACAAACGTTCAGATCTAGTGGTACCACGTGTATCAAAATTGGGGACTCGATTATTGAGTACTCGAGCAACTTCCGGTGGGTATTGGTTAAGTTCTTATTTTTTTATGGTACTTCTTAGGGATGGGTTTCTCGAAACGTCAAAACCTGGAAACCCATTGAAATTCAAAAAAGTTTCGAGTGTCGAGTTTCGAAGGTTTTGAGAGTTCTGAAATCTTACAAAATTTCTGATTCGAATTTCGAGAATTTGAAAGCGAGACACCAATCCATAATTAATGTTTCGAGAATGATATTTTTCTTAACAGATTCTACATCACGACCAAGTTACGTAATCCCCATTATTTACCGGAAGTGGCGGTGAAGGTGACTCTGTTGAATTTTATGATCACGCCAATCGGTCTCGAGGATCAGCTTCTGGGTATCGTTGTGGCAAAAGAACGACCAGATCTGGAGGCTGAGAAGAATCAGTTGATCATTCAAGGAGCCGCCAATAAAAAGTATGTTAAATTTTGTCTAGCTTATTTACTCTCGATCCGTCGTTAAGTTACAATGTTGCAGAATGCTGAAAGAAATCGAGGACAGAATCCTGGAGGTTCTATCCACGTCCGAGTCGAACATTCTCGAGGACGAGACTGCGATCAGCGTTCTGAGCTCCTCGAAGCATCTCTCGAACGAGATAGTTGTGAAGCAAACTGCCGCGGAGATAACCGAGAAGTCCATCGACGAGGCGAGATTAGAGTACACCCCGATAGCTGTTTATAGCACGGTCCTCTTCTTCACGATAGGTACTTCTTTCGTTTGAACAAATCGATCGTAACGTCAAAACACTCTTTTCACTCTCGACAGCATCGTTTCATGTTCATTAAAAGTGTATTTAGAAAGTTTATAATTAGGCATATAGTAACAGGGGTAAATGTTTACAATAAGGGAGCCACCTCCGATTTCAATGATTTTTCAATGTGTCAAGGTTAAATCACCCTGAGTAGAGTTGTGAAGGTTTTAGTTGGGGGTCGCCTTCGTAGTGCTACTCAGGGTGATGACCTTAAATACATATTAAAAAATCATCGAAATCAGTGGTGGCTCTCTTATTGTAAATATTTACCGTAACAGGGATATTCATGTAACTCGATGACAGTTTACTTTCACTCTAATCGAATTTATCGAAAGTCCTGCGATGACGTTACACGTTTTTTTACTGTCGATCTTCCACAGCCGTCCTAGCGAATATCGATCCGATGTATCAGTACTCGTTAGTCTGGTTCGTGAATCTCTTCAAGAACACCATCGACAACACGGAACAGACGGAGGACATTGCGCAACGGCTGAAGGACCTGACACGCGAGTTCACCTACTCGTTGTACGTGAACATATGCCGTTCGTTGTTCGAGAAGGACAAGCTTCTGTTCTCGTTGCTTCTCTCGGTGAATCTGCTGAACAAACGGGGTGAGATCTCGATACCACAATGGATGTTCCTATTGACCGGCGGCGTGGGCCTCGAGAATCCTTTCGAGAACCCCACGCAATGGCTGCCCTCGAAATGCTGGGATGAGCTGTGTCGTTTGGACAACGTTCCTGGATTCGAGGTAATAAAGTGAAAAATAAATATCACCGAGGTGTTCTACAAAAAGGGATAAACTTCCGAAAGCATCCACACCCTATTCTGTTATTTATTTTAGTATTAAAGTCGATGTATAGGGAGAGGACCCTCCCCCTGTATCCCCACTCCAATAAAACTAGAATCTAACCTAGACCTACCTGCAACCCATTTCCATTTTTCTCGATTTCGATTATGAAATAGAAGACCACTGTGTTGGGTCATCGGGTGTGTGCTTTTCAGAAGTTCACTCGAAAAAAACAGTGCGAAAAATGAATATTGTTACAGTAGACACGCGTCAATAGGTATTCACTGTGCTTTTTTTCCAAGGGAGCAGAAAGAGTCTTCACCCCTTTAGAGTTAATAACCAGAGACTTTACAGACGGCGTGTGTACAAAGTTTGCCGGATGTTTTTGTGTTTAGGGTCTGAAAGATTCCTTCACGGAGAACGTGGACGCTTGGAAGGTCGTCTTTGATCACATGGAGCCGCACACTTTACTTTTCCCCGCGCCTTACGGCCAGTTCAGCCCTTTCGAGAGAATGCTCGTGCTGCGATGTATTCGTCCTGACAAACTCGTGTCGGCGGTGCAGAATTTCGTTGAAGGTGGGGAGATCGTTTGTTTCTCCTTTTTGGAAGAATTTCACGTGGGTGACTTGTTCTTTTTTCGTTTACTTAAAGGACTGGATTGTTTTTTCTTTTCTTTTTGTTTCGTGAACCCAAAAGGACTGGAGATTCTTTTCTTCGCGTACTTTACTGTGTACAATTTCACCTATGTCGAACAATTGAATTAATATTATTTGTGACATTTTACAGATCACAAGCTACAAGTAATAATAAATTCTGTTGCGAAATATTTATAGTAACAAGTGTCTTAAGAAAACAAGTAGAATTGTACGAGTAACGTTTATACTTAATGACCGTAAAGATACAGCTACCATCAAAATTCTGCTTCAGTCTTGTTAGATCGAATCGCTCGTTAAATGGTAATTGTTTTGCCAGAGCAATTGGGACATCAGTACATCGAGCCGCCGCCGTTCGATCTGCTCTCGTCGTTCGCGGACTCGTACTCCTGCATCCCGTTGATATTCGTACTGACGCCTGGCGCCGATCCCATGGCGGTTCTGCTGAAATTCGCGGACGACCAGGGCTTCGGCACGAACCGACTGTTCTCCCTGTCTTTGGGTCAAGGACAGGGCGTTATCGCCGCCCAACTGATCGACGAAGGGGTGAAGAACGGCACCTGGGTGGTGCTGCAGAATTGTCATCTTGCCAAGAGCTTTATGCCCCAATTGGAGAAGGTACGAAAATGAATTTTTAACGGTCTCATTACCCCGGCCCCGTCGTCTTGGCAATAAAGTCTGAACCGCCTTGCACGTGAAACGTGAGGGAATAGAATGAAATGAAAAATGAAGTGTCATCTAAGAACTCGAAGATAGTATATTTCTGGATCGGTTTATTTTATCGGAATTCTGATTCAGATATGCGAAAGTTTCACCCCGGAAACCGTGCACCCGGACTTTCGTTTATGGCTGACCAGCTATCCTGTGGATCACTTTCCGGTCAGCGTTCTACAAAATGGCGTCAAGATGACCAACGAACCGCCGAAAGGATTACGAGCGAATATAATCAAGTCTTTTCTTCAGGTAATCCACTAGTGAATTGCAATTGTCGCTGATTTTTGGAACGACGCTGGACAATTAGAAAAATTTGAAATCACTAGGACCCGATATGCGACAGTGAGTTCTTCGACACTTCGAAGCAGAAAGGACCGTTCAAGAAACTGCTATTCTCCTTGTGCTTCTTCCACGCGATCGTTCAGGAACGAAGGAAATTCGGACCGATCGGCTGGAACAATCAGTACGAGTTCAATGAGACTGATTTGAGGATCAGCGCTTTGCAGCTGAAAATCTTCTTGGATCAGTACGACGACGTGCAGTACACTGCTCTGAAATATTTAACAGGTATTTCTACATATACAATTCCATAATTCACTTATTTTGTAATATAATGTTATTACAGTAAACAATTATTTACTTTTCGTTATTATTTTATACAAAACTCGGTACAGTCAGACATTTTTCATATGATTTTTCATCTCATAGATCAACATCCATAAACGTCCAATTCAATATGGCGTCCTTATCGTTAAAGTCACTGAGTGAATTAACTTGTTACTGAATCTTTCAAACAACCGCAATTGAATCATCCACAATTTTCACTCATTTCTATCTCAAGTATTGCTTCCACCTTTCCTGTCTTTATTTAGTAGTTTCTAAGCATTTCAAACGTACAAACGTCTAATCAAATATGGCGCCACCGCTACAATCGAAAAACACATTCAGAGCACTGAACTTGCCAAATTCGTGATCGATTCAACCGTGCACGTAAAATCTCGAAGTTAATACACGCACAGTGGCCATTAGTCGGCCCGCGTACATTTTGAAGTACACTAACGTGCCAATTCAATATGGCGTCCTCGAGTGATCGCGGGCAAGGACCCAGGTTAGGGACACTCGATGAGCCGATTTGGTAATTAATTTGCTCTCTCCCACTCCCCCGTTCAGGCGAATGCAATTACGGTGGACGCGTGACAGACGAATGGGACAGGCGAACATTGAACACGATCCTCGGGAAATTCTATTGCTCGGAGTTGCTCGCGGAAAAGAAATACCTGTTCGACCCGAGCGGCCTGTATTACGTGCCGGAGGTCGATACCCACGGGGATATTCTCGAGTACGTAAAGTCCTTCCCGATGTCCACCGCGCCGAGCGTGTTCGGGATGAACGAGAACGCAGACATCATCAAGGATCAACAGGAGACCACGTTGATGCTGTCCTCGGTCCTTGCGACGCAGGTAAAAAGAATCACTCTCGAGAACGACGATTTTCGAATTAACATACGAATCACTTCTAATATATTTTCATTGGTCAGACCATTCAGGGACTAAACGTAAGTCTTTGTCGAACGTAATTTCACGCGCAACAAGTAGCTCTTTACGACGATATTGTGTATTTCATTTGTACTTTGTCCTAGCTGAATCCGAAGTTATCCAGGAAACAGGTATGACAGTTGTTTTTCGGTGATTATTCTGCTTTAACTGTTAATATCTCGGTAATGAAGCTTCAGATTACAAAACGATAAAGGATTTTTCCAATTGTATTTGCATGAGGAATATCCACGTTTCGGAGTGTCTCATATTTTTGGGACACTCTGTATGTACATAACAGGTTGCTGAAAATATTCTCGAGACCCGCTAGACAAATGCTCCGCCGTCGTGCCCGTTATCATTATCCTCGTTCATTAAATTTCGAGACAATTAAGGAACTCTGGTAGTGTTTCGCGAATATAATAGGCGTTCCTTAAATGTATATTCTGCGTGTGACGAATCGTCCGTACTACTAACGAGACGGCCACACCGTGTTGCTTCGACCCGTGTGTTTCCTCCAATTAGGACACCGGGGAAACGGAAACAGACGCAGGCAAATCGCCCGACCAGACCGTATACGGGGTGGCGTCTGATATTCTGTCAAAGTTACCGAGGGACTTCGATCTTGTCGCGGCGCTCGTCAAGTATCCGACGTTGTATAATCAAAGCATGAACACGGTGCTGGTCCAGGAGATGGGAAGATTCAACAAGCTTCTGCAAACGATCAGGAATAGCCTGGTGAACGTTCAGAAAGCGATCAAAGGTAAACCGCGAGCGTCCGACGCACGGCTCGGCGCACGGCGCCCGATATCGATCATCTCACACGGCCGCGTGAACACGATCCTAAAGGTCTGGTGATCATGAACCCGGCCCTCGAGGAGGTGTACGTGTCGATAATCACCGGAAAGATACCGAAGATGTGGATGAGGAACTCCTATCCGTCCCTGAAACCGTTGGGCAGCTACGTTCAGGACTTTCTGAAGAGGCTCGCCTTCCTTCAGGTATCCTCGACATGTATACATCATTTTTGTTCTTGTGTAGGGGAGACCGGGGCAGATTGTAAGAAAAAAAGTTTTCACAATTTTTTCTCAAAATTGTTTTTCTTAATCAGGAAATAATTTGCGTGACTTACTTCTTGGTCAACACATTGAGTGTAAGTATGTGACAAAATCTTTTATACTTAGACATTTATGTTCATTATAAACAAATCTGAACTTTTGTTACAATGTGCCCCAGCCTGGGGTAAATTTATAAAGGTCACATAGTCTAAATTTTCACATTTTTAATCCTTAGGAATGTTACTCACGAACTTGTTTATGATATATTCGCAGTCGTGGTATGATAAAGGGCCACCGTCGACCTTCTGGATCTCCGGTTTTTACTTCACCCAAGCGTTTCTCACCGGCGCCCGTCAGAACTACTCGAGGAAGTACTCGATACCGATAGATCTTTTGATCTACGACTTCGTCCCTATGGAAAAGACCGTCTTCCCAAACCCGCCCGCCGACGGTGTTTACGTTTACGGGCTGTTCCTCGACGGTGCACGGTTCAACATGGAAACGATGAAAATCGACGAATCGATGCCGAAAATATTGTACGACACCGTTCCTTACGTGAGTGTTTCTCTTCGTTTCACTAGTTGGAAATTTAATTTCTGTAAAACAATAATTCTATTTGTTCCGTTGACTAGATCGAAATTAACAGGATTCGAAAACAATGAATGTTTCCTCTTTATTTTATGATTCTTTATGTTGGCCCTTCTGAATTCTTTAATTTTCTTTCCTTTTGAAAAGAAATATTGAAAAAATGAATTATTCCGAAAGGAAAATGCTGCCGAAGTAGCATGCAAAGTGCTTTTTGCCTTTGCAACCTCATGCATCTACTAAATTATCAGGCGAACTTATGGATCTTCGCGTAGAAGAATTCAAATTCGTCTCCGAGACGGGTGGTATGCAGTTAAAGGGTTAAAACAAGACAGAAATTTCTCTGTAAAAGTTAATGTAGATTTACGAGATAGCTAGATCGCTTTAAAGATAGATCAAGGTAAATGATATTTTATGTACAAAGATATATACTTTATGCATCCACGCTAAATGAAGTTTAGTGTCGTAAAAGTGATTGTTCTATTATCCGAAAATTCTTGTTAGTCTTTCAATTAGTTCGTACACGGAAGGCTCTACTGTAATTCAGTGTTAAACAAATTCCAACGACAATTTCACAATATTGGAGAATATCGTTTTTCACGTTTGCCATTCTGGCAATTTTCTCCTCGCAACGGAGTCGAACTCGTGTCGTGCAATTCGCACCGTCTGACGGCTGTGTTTGTATCCAGATTTGGATGGTACCGGCGAAAAGGGATGAAGTGCCGGACCGACACACGTACACCTGTCCAGTGTACAAAACCGCCGAGAGGAAGGGCGTACTGTCGACGACCGGCCACTCGACGAACTTCGTGATCGCCATATGGCTCCCGACGGAGCATCCCCCGGAACACTGGATCCTCCGAGGCGTAGCCATGCTCTGCCAATTGTCCGATTAAACCAATTATTACGTATCCTACGTTATTTGCAATTTATTTCAATCTCAATCTGTACGTCGAGTTTTCCTTTCGTTCGTCACAGTTTGTTCACGGTGAAACGATTTTTATTTTCACCCTTGAACTTTAGCCTTAGGTTATTCGGAGAACAGTTAACTAGGCTTTGCGGGGTCTCTTGAGATTCCGTTTACAGAGAAGCTTGACCGATTTCTCGTGAAATATTCAGGTCACTTTGGAACATTTTTAGATAGTTTCTTAGTGTCAATATTGTTGGTCGATTTTTTTTATAATCACTCCAAAAAAGGTTTAGTTTTAGTTCGTGGTCATTTGAGAAGTTGAACTCTGAAAAGGCAGCTCAGTGTTATTAGAACAAGTTCAATTAATATTCGAATGGTATTCAATTAACTCCAAGGCATGAAGTGGACGATCATCTTCTGAGGCGGGTGTTTTAAATCGTTCGTCCACCCTTGGGTCACCCTTGAACTTTGATTCGCCAGAAGAATTTTCTAATCTCAATCTTTCAGACCCGCAAGATCTCAAGGACCGGTGTCTAGAACCACCAAAGACCGTCGCCAATCTTTCAAAGCAACATCCCAGGTGTCTACAGCCTTCCTTACAACAGGTGGCGGTACATCGGGGTCAGAGAGAACATACATCCCACCATCAAAAACTGGATCAATCTACCCAACGAAACATCACTATCGCCGCAACTAACCAAGGGACCAATCACCTCCAACAATATCATCTACCCAAAACCGAATTCTCAAGACCCTAGAAACGTCCAGATCCACCCGCGGCCATCCAGGACCCTCCACGTTCGACCGTCATCGCTCCTTCCGTCATCTCCTCCTCAACCAGCTACGAGAACACAGCCTCGGGGATCGTAGTGTTCCTCCGTTTTCCGATACACAGTCTGGTGCTGCACGAAACCTGCCGTCGACAGGCGCGTGTGTCCGCCGCAAAATCGGGATTCCTATGCAAACGGTTATCGTAAATATTGCAGCCGGGTATCAAGAGCCAGCAGCCAGGTGCAGGAGAGATTTCGAAGGCAGCCTGCGTCCGCGGGAGATATCGCGATAGGCCGGCGAGGACCGTTCTCGCGTATAGGGGGTGGGTGGATGGAACAGGGTGAAACAGCGGGATGAAAATCAGTGGTATTAGGAGAGAGGAACGGCAACAGAGAGAGGGAGTGAGACAAGGAGAGAGGTGAGCGACGGTATATTCAGAGGCAGGTCGGTTGGAAGGGTGGTGGCTGGGTGGGTGGCTTCAGGGGTTGGTGGCGGCACCCTGTCTACCCGGACCGAGATCGCCGGAGGCTCGTTGCCTAGCGACCTCTCGTATTGATCTCTCCCCGTATCTCGGCTTTTCCCCTTTCCCACGTGATTCTCCCTCTCCCCCCCCCGTCTTGCACACCCCTTCATCTAGTTCCCGTCTTCGTTTAGTTCCTCTCGTCCCTTTTTTCGTCTCTCGCTCACTTTCTGGGCACCCGTTACCCTCCTCCTCCTCCTTCGCCCCTCGTGGCTCCGGTTTCTTCTTCTATTAGGTGTCTTTCTGTTTGCGCGTTCCCGAGTACTCTCGGGCAAAGAGAGAAGGCAGGGAGAAAAAGAGAAATGGTGTCGTTTCGTGGGGGGCAAGGTGACAGGATTAGGATCGAACGATCATTTTTTCTTTCTTCTTTTATGGAAATCCTTAGGATGCTTCGAACCTTCCGGCAATGGCGCCTTTTTCTAGCGGGCGACATTCAGGGTTCTGGTGAATATTTTGTTTGGTTCCCATTTCTTGGGAGTTTGGTCTCTTTTTCTTGTAGGTTTGCTACCTTTTTCTTGTAAGTTTGCTTCGTTTCTACTGTGAGTTCGGTTCCTTTTTCTTGTGAGTTTGCTTCCCTATTTCCGTGAGTTTGGTCCCTTTTCTATGTGAGTCTGGTTACTTATTCTTGTGGCTTTACTTCTTGCGACTTTGGTTCCTCTTTTTTCTCGTCTTCCCGGTGGTACTCGTTGAGGTCATTTCCTTTTTTTTTTAATGTACAGTGAACGGGGTCTGAAATAAGGGCTTCATGACGGAATAATCCGTTGAATTATAGAGGAGCGTTCGGTTTATGATTCCGTGCGCCGACGTCGCACGCGTCTGTCCGCGACCGGAACCGACTGAAAATAGTCGTCGCCGTTGGGGGGAAACGCGGTTACCGTCGATATAATTTGCGTAATTCGCGGGAACCGCCGGGCGAAACGGACGCGATCGAAGAAAGTTGAAGGACCCGTGGGAGGAGTTGGTAAACACAGGTCCGTCGTCCTATCTACCCCCACCTCCCACACGGTTAGAAGGATGGAAGAGAGGGTATTAGATTTCGAATGTGTTTAGGGGAGGCGGATGATAAATATTCATTTATCTCGACGACGATGCCGATGCTACGTCGGTGGAGAGCCTCGAAAGAGGATGTAATTAATAACCCTTTTCAACTAATATCTCGTATAATCCGATACCTCCACTTTGGTTCAATTTGATGCCCTCGAAACGGCCGAAGTGAACGGTACACTTCGAAACATTGTAACGTTTCGTGAATACTGCCCATGTAGGCTGACTCGTTGTTCGTCTTTGGAAATGTTGCGCTTAACAAGGGTGATACAATTTCTTGCTTATTTTGGAGTTAACGAATAGACATTTTAGTTATATAGATCTGACGTCCTGGTAGTCGAATACCTTGAAGTAGCATAGAAGGTACAGGAAATGTTCGATGAGTGTTCGAAGAATCCTCGGCAGTGAACATTAAATATTTCATAAACTAATGAATTATTTTCGTCGGAAGGTACACTGTCTGAGAATTTTTCTCTATTTTTATGTAACCTAGTATTATGTCACGTTCTGGAATGTTTCATCAAGAGGTTATTGAATAGTTTGCGATACTTTGGAAACAATTAATGTTACAAGTAAAGTACACATGATGCTAGTTCGTATGTTTATCGATGCAGCCACGCTAAAGCAGACAATTTTTTTTGCAGGCATTGTCGTTCATGTTTGTTACAAGGGAGAAGTGTCGTCGCGAGCTCAGTAGTAAATTTTCCAGCAACGAGCGTTGTTTGCTACCGTGAAAATTCCACCGAGCAGCGGTTACTTAGGAGGAGCAAACGCGGCAGTTGCATCCGTATCTCTTCCGCTAGGTTGCCTCGATCGAACATCTTTGCACTCCGCGACCCGGGCTCGATCTTGGGCCGCTGCTAGGCTGAATTGCATTATCGGTGTTCTTCAGAAATCTGCCTATCTGGTCTATGGAACGGTTCAGGAAAAAGGTCTCGAAATTGATTCTTCAGTAAATTGAAATGCAAAAAAATTTACTGGTACCCCTGTAAATTGATCAGTTACTCTGTATACTTCTGACGGTCTTCTTTCTTTTGTTCTTTATATACTAGTATATTGTAGATTTATTCATTATTCTTGTACCTGAATATCCGTGGCCATTTATACACGATCTTGTAAAAGGTGATTTCAAGTCTAATTAATTGTACAATTGGTTCAGATTATTCTATTCGATTGTACTATGAAAAATCATACGATTTATCGAGCTGAATCGATAGATAGATTTTAGCAGAATGCTGTTTTTATACTTTTTCTTTTATAAAGAAAACAAACTTTAACGAAATCTTGCACTAATATGAGGTATATCTTGTACAGTATACTATTTAATTCAGGCAATATTCAGTGAAAATAACGATGTTCAAATTTGATGTCGAAAAGACAAGATTAACCTCTATTCTCAAAAAGAAACAACCCCCAAAGGTATCTAACTCGTTGGATAGATATATTATGGATAATACCGTGTTTTTTTTCAGATAATTGTGAATTGTGTGTTAAACGGGAGCAAGGGAATTGCTTTAGCTGATCTTCTACGAACTAAAAGCAATTCCCTTGCTCCTCTTCAACACGTAATTCACAATTATCTAAAACGAAATTAATATTATGCAATCAACCTCGGTACGCTAATAACTATATCCCGTTACTACCCTTAAGACGTAAACAACCCTCTCGATCTGAACCCCTGACGTTCCAATAAAATCGCCTAACTGACAATCAACCTGCGTTCAAGAAGCCTTCTTAACAGATATCACACCTGAACAAAATTACATTCCTCGATCTCAGGACGTACGAAAGGGTGGATACCCTTCTCATCCCTTTCTCCCCGTTGTATCACTCTTCCTATTGGTAGAGTGACCTTCATTTGAATTTCTTTGTCGCACCTACGCCCTGGCAAAGTGACGGTTCGGGGGGGTTGGTAATATTTCTAGGTTGAACAGGAATAGGGGTGGGTGGAATTCGAAAAACGATGCACACCTCACGGTTGCTGTACCTTCGAGGCGTTTCCATGAGGGGTGCTTTCATGCTCGATGGGACGCGACGATGGTGGCCTCCGAGCGAGATAATGACCACGATTTCACGAGATAATGACCTCGAGGCCGACGATTGGAACGGATTTGATCGATGAGAGGGACCCTTGGACCGAGATAGGCGAGCTTTTGTTCGCGATTCTGAAGATCCTTGAGAGATCTTTGGACTATTTCAGGACACTGGGGACACTCGATTATTAGGATTTTTTTGTACGAAGGTGATGATATGGACGTTGGTGTGGTATCAAGAAGACTTTAAGTGGAATATACACTTTTACGATTCGTTATAATCTATTCAATTAATTAAATAATAGAGATTAGCTTTATTATAATATGACTATTAGGTCTGATAGTGTTAATTTGATTTTAGCTTAGACCAAGTTTAACGGATAGAATAGTGATTCAACATTTTTTTCAAACAATGCACGAGGGTTAATACCTTCACTACCAGATAGTTACTGGATTATTTAAATTGATTTCTGTTTTAATGCACTGCCAGGTGGTTAATGGGTGATTTATGTGTCGGGAGATGAAAGAGATTACCATAATGGATCGGCGGTAAATTTAAATTTCTATTCAATAGCGATCTTAAAAGGCCAAAGGTCGGATAGAGGGTTTTTTACACGA